GGAAAAAAAGCAAGAAAACAACGATATTTAGTGAAAGAGGGAGGGAGAGAGAGAGAGGGGGAGAGAGAGAAAGAGAGAGAGAGAGAGAGAGAGAGAGAGAGAGAGAGATAACTTTGTAAAATTATATCTTACATTTCATTTGTATTATTTAATATTTATTTTACATTGTCCATGTTTATTGTTTTCTATGGTTTTATTGTACAACGAATGTTTAACTATTAAATGTAAAAAAACTGTTTTATTCATTAACGTTTTTTATTATAATATTAATATAGTAGTTAATATAAAATAATTGTGAAACAACCTAAAATAAAAACCATGTAAACAATATTTTTTATATACATACTGGGTGTCCTGAAATTCGCGAATCAAAATACCATAGCAAGAAAGTCGTCGAAAAAATAAATTAAAAAGTTATTTACCATTTTTCGTTCCGAGCAATAGTTTTTTTTTAGATAAAAAGGTTCAAAACAGGCCAATCATACATTACGGTTGAATGGAAACCTGTCCGTGAGTCGCGCGTCGATAGTGTTAATGCACTAACCCGCTGAAAAAACTAAAAATTAAAATGCTGGAAAAAGTCTAGAAAACCTGGAAAAGTCAAGAAAAATAGAACTTCATTTTGCTAGACACCACGTTAAAATAATATAAATCAATAAAATAAAACAAAAATTAATAAAATAAGTATAAAAATTAATATAATATGTATAACAGAGATAAATATATAATCTAACTATATATATAATCATGGAGTATGTATAAGGAGACCGAACTGCCCGTAATCAGAATGGGCCGATGATTGTGCCCGCCAGACGTTCTGAAAAGCAACACTGGGAGCGCTGTCATCAACTAACTCCATTCGCATTCGTACGTGACACATGGTTGTCATATGCATGAAGGTTCGTGGTTATATTAATGATAGAGTACGAGAGGTTAGGAAAAACATATATTTTGGGTATACAGTAACAATATTTATTATGTACTGTGTAATCTACGAAAAACAACATTTCAACTATTATTATTATATTTATTTACTTCAGCTTACAGCCAAGAAGTGGACAAGAAGTGGTTTACAACAATACTTAATTCATTCACTAACATTTCAACTATTAGAATCGTAAGTTTTATAAAATTATGTTTCCGAGGACGTTCTGAAACCTTTCTGTCCGAGAAGACTTTTACTTGGTAACTTTTACGAAATCTTCAAGCGTTTCCAATTAATTCCAATTAATTCTGTCACTAGAATAGAAATTTTCATCGGAGAGAACATTTTAGAACGTAGCTTGAATGAATAAAAGTATTAGAGACAATTTCTATAACTGTATAAGTGACTGATGAGATTAAAATATATGTATATTGTGTTTAGCATGTTACATGATTCAAGTTTCAGTGTATTTTTTTCTTCATGTTACAGTTACTCTTCATGTTACTTCTGCTGAAATCCAAAATAATAATAGTAAACGGCAAACGAAAGTAAGTAATTGGTACACCGCAATACATGTATACATATACTGTAAACAAAGAGATTAATTACTTAATTATTGTTTTAGCTATTAAGAATGGAAAGTAAAGATATACATGTGGATATAAAGAGTGATTGTATTAACCTCACGTTCAATGAAATGAAAAAAATATAAGATTTCTTAAAAAAACATGTAATTGGGGAGTATGTGTTCATGACACAGCGATTGTCATCATAGAAATGATTAGTGACTCAGAAGAAGGAATGAAAATGGTGATCAATGATAAAATGGAAATTCAGTTTTTTAGTCGCAACAAGTTCCTACCATGGTTGACGTTGGAAGCAATTAGGTCGATAGACCATCTTTCAGAAATCATTGAACAATTGAGCAAATTAAAACCCATGCCTGAGTTGGAGTATGTTCCTACTGACATTCAATTCAAGGTTCAATCAATGTAATACAAACATATTTAGGGCGTTTTCCAGCAAGGACACAGTGTAATACAGTGAATCGTTTCATCCTTGTTTAACATTGGCAAACAAGGATGTAATGATTCACAGTGTTACACTGTGTCACATTGTGTCCTTGCTGGAAAACGCCCTTAGTAATGACAGTCTAAACTGGAAAAATAATACATCAAAGAAATTTTACAGATTTTTTTATTATACATTACATCATATTGTATTACAAATATACATTTCTTATACATCCATAAGTTTGATAGAAAAAAATTTTTTATATTTCTGTAAATATCACGAAGAATAATGCTACGATGAATTTCTGTACAGACGAAGTCCTTTCTTATTAAAGCGCTGAAAAAACAATTGCACAAATGTAATTCAATTCTATTATCAAGCAAATAAATGACTTACAATTAAATCATGTTCTTATTAATTTATAACATTGAACATACTTCGATTTAATTCTAGAAAACCTTTGCATCAAAGAAACCTTGGCTCACAATTTGGCATCTTTTCGCGCCTTCTTAGTTTTTTCTTTGAGTTTTGCTCTGATGGTGTTGTCAGCTTTACTCAGAAAATTTGCACGCATAATCAAGTAAAAATTAACGAGACGTTTCGTCAGTTCTTGATTATGCGTGGAACATCCCACCAATGTTAGTGCGGTGTCTTGTAAGGCATAACAAATATGGAAAAATGTATCTGCCTCTAAATTTTTATTTCCAACAGTCATCAGCACTGTATTTTCAATTGTGGCTAGCATATTTCGCAGCAATGTCGAAGGATACTTCAGGGATCCACGCGTTAACATTCGAATCATTTTGTTTTCCTCGATGTTTTCCTCATTGGATGATTGTAGGCTCTGTAAACATTCCTTGCAATCGGTCCATTTTTGTGCTTTCCGGACAATATAGCCAGCCATATATGATATTATACAG